GGGGCAGTCGGCTGGCAACTAATATGCGCCCCTATAATATTACCATTGATAAACGAGGGCCGAAGGCACGAGCCGAGCGCCGCAGGTGCGAGGTTTGTCTAGGGGGGTCCGGGGGCAAGCCCCCCGAGAAAATTTTTGAATTTAGAGTCTCTGAAATGCCATTTCCTGGACTTTGGGGGAAGATTTGACAGAAATCTGATGGTCAGGAAACGGCATTACAACGTGTCGAAATTTGAAAATTGGTTAGAATTTAGTAGTAGCACTTAAATTGGGGCAATGCTAACTGCTTCCAGCAATTAATCTAATCCCAATTCTATTCTCTACTGATCTGAATTCATTTACAACTTACAGCTCTTTTATACAATAACACACGGACCCCACGCATATGCATGATTCCCGTGATCGCTTCGAAGCCTGATCAATATTCCGGTAATGAGACATTGCGTGTGATCACTGATCATGTTTCTATATGAACGAGTGATTTCGTGTGAGTCGTGAGGTAGCAAGTACGGTTAGACAAAATAGTCTGCAATTTAATATACTCACTCACTTTGTCGCCTATGCGCTTAGTCTGTTTATAAGTCTATAAACACATCTTTCCTTGGCAGAATTAGTAACTATATTTCTTCGAATGCGTTTCTTCCCACATACTTTCAAAATTCGGCGCGGGATCGGCGCCCCCTTTTCATTTTTGCGCCCCCCAAAAATTGCCAGCTGGGGGGGGGGCGTGGCCCCCCGGCCCCCCCTGCCAGCACGCCACTGCGTGGCAGGCGATTTTTCTAGCAGAGTTGATCAACATTGCTCTGAAGATTAAAGCTCTGTTTTACTCGTTCTAAACTGTATTAAATTCATAATAAACACAGGACAACATTTTCATAACTTCAAAAAGTTTGTTTGGCCATCGTCCTGACCTTTACATGCGCAAAAACTCTCTAATATTTTATCAAGTTGCTACAAGATTGTCACTCACAACTTGTTGACAAATTGCAACCTGATACTCAGGGTTTTCACTTCCGTAGAAGTTGTGTAATTGTACACTCCGTAATATGTTAAGATGAAAATGTTCAAGAGTGCCGTGTAGTATATAATTTCCATACCCAGCGCAAGCAGAAAGATGCTTGTATATGGGTATGGAAATTATATAATACACACTCTAGAACATTTTCATCTTAATATATATATATATATATATATATATATATATATATATATATATATATATATATATACATATATATATATATATATATATATATATATATATATATATATATATATATATATATATATATATATATATATATATATATATATATATATATATATATATATATATATATATATATATATATATATATATATATATATATATATATATATATATATATATATATATATATATATATATATATATATACACAATATATATATATACCAAATATGTATTTAGAATTATATATGAGTAGAGTGCTCGATATACCGAAGTATAGAGCTAATAAAGATAAAGATAAAATAAACCTGCATGGTTTACTTCATAAGATTTATTCATTATACACACTTGTTTCGTATGACAAGCAATGCTTGCCACACTCATCAGGTGAATTTAAATGTCGCGCTATGTTGTTGCCACGGTTATAATTGCTTTCGATAAAATTTCACTTCTGGAATTTAAAGGGTGGTAGATTATTAATGTATATAATGTATAACATTGGCAACAACATAGCGCGACATTTAAATTCACCTGATGAGTGTGGCAAGCATTGCTTGTCATACAAAATAAGTTTGTATAATGTTCCCAAAATATAAAGAAAGAAAGAATTATTCGTGGATGTGATCATGGTCTAATGTCGGATAGACAAATAACTAATTCTCGCGAGTCTATATATCCAAATACTTGTGAGAAAGTTGCCGGCAAATCCTTAGGCAAACAATAAAAGTTATGTAGTTAAATGGCTTAATTATCGCTTTTGTCTTACAATATTCACTGAAACAGTTTTTACTATTGCTCCTTGGCGTTGCTACAGCACACACATGAATATGTCTCGCTTTACTTCATGTTTTTCAGAAATTTTGGAAGACGTCAATGACGCACACGAGAAGATCATTAAACTTCTGGCCGAAGGCAAGAACAAGGAGGCCCTCGAGTCTTACACAGATGATTGCGTTATTATGCCACCAGGACGAGAAGTTCTTCAGGGAAAAGACGGTATAAACATATAACAGTCTTCGTTCTTCCTCAAATGATTTGAAACAAAACAATGGCTGCTTTTTGCCGCCAAAACAATGTTTTGTGATGTGTACACCTTTACAAACCATGGCAGGAAACAATGTTTTCTGGTTTATTGAACAGGATTTACATATATAGAGGATATTACACAGTGGCGCGAAGATACGACTCGGTGCGCGGAAAAAATACATGCATGGGTGCGCGGAAATACCAGATTTATTTCGAGTGTTGACTGACATGATATCTCAGATATCATGTTCAAGCAGAAGCATGTTCTGCAGAAGAAAAACGGTCGTTTATCATATATTTGATATGAAAATAATTAAGTTTAAAGGATTAAGAGGTAACATAGCTGGGTTTATGATTTGGAAAAGTTCTAAGACTAAGAACCAATTTAAATAGCATTGTCCCAGCTTGAAATGTAAGCGTTGTACACGTGTTGCATCATAATCTGTATTTTAATTACTGTTCAAACAGAGCGATGGCGACGTATATTTCTTGCATATTAATGTGATATCAAGCCGTCCACGTTGCATTTTCGTCCGGCTTGATGAGGTTCTTAAAGTGGCACTCGCATCAAAATTTTTATTTTCTTAAACGAAAATGCTCTTAAAAGTGTATATATAGTAACATATTTTGAAGATTTTTGTTTCCATGCTTAGTTCTTGAGATATTTCATTTTGATATTTGTGGTGTCACGGTCCGTATACTAGATTAAGCTTTGCTTAAGTTCGCTATTATCTTTTCCTGTGGCTAGCTTTTCTGAAGTTCATTGAAGCTTCGGTGGAATTGCAAAGCAAAGTTGACAAAACAGAAAACGTGGAAGAAGCGGCGTTTGGCGAGGGAGACCTAGTCACATCACGCAGCAAAGAAATTGTCTATGGAAAGGATGGATCTGTCATTTTCAAGAGAAAGTAAGTTTATAGTTTACGTGGTGGTCCAGTGTAGGTAGTATTCTACAATAAGCTGCCGTGGTTTGTGTCTGAACTACCTGAAAAAGATATCTCAAACGTGGTGGTCCAGTGTAGGTAGTATTCTACAATAAGCTGCCGTGGTTTGTGTCTGAACTACCTGAAAAAGATATCTCAAACGTGGTGGTCCAGTGTAGGTAGTATTCTGCAATAAGCTGTCGTGGTTTGTGTCTGAACTACCTAAAAAGATATCTCAAACGTGGTGGTCCAGTGTAGGTAGTATTCTACAATAAGCTGTCGTGGTTTGTGTCTGAAATACCTGAAAAAGATATCTCAAACGTGGTGGTCCAGTGTAGGTAGTATTCTACAATAAGCTGTCGTGGTCTGTGTCTGAAATACCTGAAAAAGATATCTCAAACATGGTGGTCCAGTGTAGGTAGTATTCTACAATAAGCTGCCGTGGTTTGTGTCTAATCTAGACTCCCATGCACAAGAACCACAGAAACTTATAAGCTTATTGCAGAATACTGTATCCAAAACGAACCCGGCCCTATGTCAAATTTGAGCTTCTTCAAACGTCCGCTTAAGTGAACCTATACATTCTTTTGCAGGGCATTGACAGTTTGGAAAAAGGTCGATGGCAAATATTTAGTACACAATGTCATCTGGAATACAGATGCACCTCTGAATGTGTAATTTCAAAGACGTGGCACAAACCTAAATTTAAGAAGAAGTAGTTTGAAAAGTTTTTCAATAAAAACTCTTCATTGATATTTAATTCTGAATTTGCTTTTATGCTCTTTCACCAAAGTCAATCAAGATATGATGGATCTGGAAAACTAAACTGAAGTCATTGTGTTATGTTTTAAGTTTATGTTAATTTGTGCACGGTCACGGTGATTGAGCTCATTGTATTTTCGTATAATGAAGTAATCGTCCAATAGGGATAGCTGAGATGAAACGTGCAACCACGATGAAGGATATCTAACGAAGTTGAGACAAAGGATTTGTGCACGGTGAGGACTGAGGTACAGTTCAACATCAAACAAAGCTCTTCTATTTTGTGGCTTTGAAGTTTGCCTGGCTTCCAGATCATCATATCTCGACAGATTATGCTTTCACAGACCTGTCTGCTGGCAGAGAATATTACAGGATCAATTAATTCCGATTCATATTAATTTTAGTACATATCGTACTTGCAATAGATCAGCTTTCTTTCTGTTTTTCTGTGACTACAGTTCTTCGCTTTTTCTCACCGTCTGCAGCAATTTTATGATGGCCACAACTATACACAGTCATCACCAGTCGAATAATCCCCATTAAAAAAACCTTCAAATAGAGAAAGAAAGTCGGAATGATATAACTAGAATAGGGAGGTTAGTTAGAACATCCTAATTTATGGGTATAGGAGTGTCATTTTGTTTAGGAATTTTAATCAATGGATGGATGTCCGGCCAAATGATGGATTTTCAGACCACCCCTCCCCCCCTTGTCCGGCATTGTCCGAATTAATGACCCCC